CCCTGGCAGCTCTCGCATAGGCTTTGTGACAGGAACTGCCTTTCAGAAAGGTCCTGGACTGGGCAGTGAAGGTCGAGGTCACCTACAACTAAAGAACGCTCCCTCAGGACCAGCACGCATGGGTACAAATGTTACCCGTCAGAGCTCGTGTCTGTGTCACGCCGACCTGCACTTTGAAGTCTTGTGAGCAGATAATTCTTCTGGCCTCCATGTGCTGTTCCACTGCTTGGCCATTTAAAGCCAAGTAAGCCACAACTAGCTGAGCCCTGACTAAGAGAGCAGTGCTTGGGGCATCAGCATTCTTTGTTCCGTTCTATTGATAAGAGAAGTGAGGCCTGGAAAGAAAAAGTGACTCACCCACCCGAGGTCACAGAAGCTATAAGTCACCAGCCACAGGACCCGAGGCTGTGAGAGCACCAACTTCCACTTTCTGTATTGTGTTTTATATTTGCAATTAAATGATTTTTATCATTTCATAAATGGCTTTGTAAACTGCAGGCAGTAATAGTCTAAATTGCATGAGCAGGCATGGGCGTACTTGGGTAGCATTTTTTAATGGGCATACATTTCATGATTAATAATGTTTCAATTTCGCCGAATAAACACTCTCTAGTCAAACCTAGACTGCAGGTCCTAAGCTATTAGAAGGTGAAGGGAGGGAACAGGAGAAACCAAGATGGTGGCTTAGGTAAATGCCTAACTGCAGCCTTACATGGCAATTTCAAAAAAATACAACTAAAATTCAAAATGGACATTACAGGAAAGTTGACTGACTAGAAATTCTACAGGAAAGTTGACTGACTAGAAATTCTACAACTAGAAGGAAAGAGAAAATCAGAAGGAAAATCAGAGGAGCTGTAAAAGCTTAAGGTACGGAGACACGGTGTGCGCGCGGGGAGAGGACTGAGCTGGAGAGGAGGGGCGCTGAGTGCCTGGCTGGCGTTCCCTAGCGGGAAGGAGATAAAAGCTCTGGACTGTGCTGAGGCCCCGCTCCGACTGCACTGAACTCCAGTTCTAGGCCAGACCCTGGGGATCCAGGCTCATACGGAGGAAGTCTGGACTGTAAGGCGGAAACCCAGGGGAGTGGTGAAAGGCAGTCCCGGAGGTGCGCACACTGCACGCAGAGGACGGACTGTTGACTCTGCCGCTAGATTGCCCTAGCAGGAAAGAGACAAAAGCTCCAGACTGCTCTGAACCCCACTTCCAACCCCACTTCCAACTGCACTGAACCCCAGTTCTGGGCTCATTGGGGGAGAGCCTAGACTGTTTGGTAGCAGGTGAAACTAAAGGGCACCTTTCTCTCAGAGGTGTTTACAGCGAGTACCAAAGGACACTGAGGAACACTGAGACTCAGGAGCCTCATAGGGCGGGACTAAGGGGAAGCCAAGCCTGTAGGCTCCACCTGAAACTCCGCCCCATCCAAGCTGAGCACAGAAACTTTTGCAATTTTCCAAGTCTAGTCGAATAAGGCTGTCTCCTGGCATTGACACAGCTAATTCTCACAGCCAATTGGCCTGGAGGTCAGTTCCCCTCAGGGATACCAACAATAATCAAGACTTAACTACAACAAGGCTATATACACAGTCCACAAAAGGGGACACCAAGAGTGTCCACCTCAGGTAACTGGGAGACTGAACCACTGAACCATATAGGACACCTAGCACACAAAACCACCCTATCAACTCAGGGAAGCTGTGAAAATGCCAAGACAAGGAAACAGATCACAAAAGAAATGGAGGATAAAAAGCTTATAAGGTTTTTCAAGAATTTCTTAGAAAAGGCCGATAAAATAAATGAGACCTATAAGGAAATGAAAAGGGATCAACTAGAAATAAAGAATACATTGTCTGAAATACAAAAATATTATACAGAGTCCTAAAAACAGAATGGAAGGTTGCAAAAATCAAGCCAAAGATTTGGAACATAAAGAGCCAGAAGACACTCCTCCGCAAAAGCAAGAAGACAAGAGAATCCAGAAAGTTGAAGATAATGTAAGAAACCTCTGGGACAACTTCAAGCGAATCAACATCAGAATTATGGGGGTCCCAGAAGAAGAGAGAGAGCAAGATACTGAAAACATACTGGAAGAAATAGTGACAGAAAACTTCCCCCACCTGGTAAAAGAATTAGACTTACAAGTCCAGGAAGCGCACAGAACCCCAAACAAAAGGAATCCAAAGAGGACCACACCAAAACACATCATAATTAAAATTCCAAGAGCAAAAGACAAAGAGAGAATATTAAAAGCAGCAAGAGAAAAGCAGGTAGTTACCTATAAAGGAGCACCCATACGACTGTCAGCTGATTTCTCAACAGAAACCATGCAGACCAGATGAGAATGACAAGAAATATTCAAGGTGATGAATCGCAAAAACCTACAGCCAAAAATACTCTACCCAGCAAAGCTATCACTCAGAATCCAAGGCCAGATAAAGAGCTTCACTAATTAAAAAAAAAAGCTAAAGGAGTTCATCACCGCCAAACCAGAATTATATGAATTGCTGTAGGGGGTTCTTTTGGAAAAGAAAGAAGATATAGATAAAAATTATGAACAACAAATATATAACTATCAACAAGTGAATCTAAAAACCAAGGGAATTAAAAAATCTGATGAACAATATTAACTGGTGAATATAATAGAATCAGAGGTATGGATGGAGAGTGAACTGACGATTCTCAGGGAAAAGGGGAGTGGGGGAAGGTGCGGGAAGAGACTGAACATAAACTGCACCTATGGATGATGACAATGGGGTGTGGGGAAAGGGCAGAGGGTGGGGTGGGAACCTGGCAGAGGGGAGCAATGGGGGGGGGTGAGGAACATTTGTAATAATATGAACAATAAAGATTTATTTAAAAAGAAGAAGAAAAAAAAGAAGGTGAAGGGAACAGTCCTAAAATAGGTGGGAATTTAAAACCAATACTTATTTAATTTTTTGGGTAATTAAAAGTTGACGTTTGTACCATTTTTACATTTTGGGAGTATGTCAGTATTTCATACCAGGGTTAGATAAAATTTTAGTTTAGATAAGATTTTAGCCAATTTACACCCTGGATAACAGGAGAAAATCTAGTGGAGCCAATGAAGTCCTTCTCTACAGCAACAAGAACAAACGCTGGTGGGAAGAAAGGTGATAGGCTGTGCCAGGCTCCGGGAGGGCGGGCAGGAGGGGCAGCCACCTGTGCAGGTGGAGGCTGGCCTCTATAGTCATGTCACTCCCACACTAATCACAAACACAGCGATGTCAGCCTGGTCCCCCTAGCATCCTGGGGGTGGAGTAAAGAACCTGACAGATTTGTGCAAAGTTCACACGGAGGAATAAGTTAAAGAGAATAACCAAGAAAACTTTCTTAAAGGGTGAATTAACTGCAGTAGTAAAGTAGTATTTTTCTGGCACTGACCAGTGGAATAAAACGGAAAGTTCAGAAACAGGCACAGATGTGCATGGGCATCAACCAATGACAAACAGCAATGGAAGGAAGCGCTGATGAGCAATGTGGTAACACTGACTGGATCTCTCCCTCACTCCACACAGGTGCCAGGTGCACTGAGCATTTCAATGCAAAAAAAATTTAAACAAAATGGGGAAGGTTTCTCTACATATGATTTCAAAGGTAGAAATAAAATAAAAGATTGATAGATTTGGCATGAAATAAAAAATAGTAAGATGTCTTACGGAAATCTTTTTTCTGTCCTTTATATTACAACTAGAGGCCTAGTGCACAAATTTATGCACCGGTGGGATCCTTCAGCCTGGCCTGCATCCCTTGTTTTGGCCCAATCCCTGGGGGCAGGGATGTAATAGTGCGCGAAGCAGCAGGCGGCTGGGGAGGAGCCCCGAGCGTGGGCAGGGCACTGTGCTGCTCCCACTTATCCCAGAACTGCTGTACCTGCCACGGCTGCCACTCACTCAGTAGTGCTACTGTGGAGGTGGGAGAGGCTCGCACTGCTGCAACTATGCTTGCCAGCCATGAACCCATTGTCTGGTGCCCATCCATCAGCTGAGTGGCACTCCCACTGTGGGAGCACACTGACCACCAGGGGGCAGCTCCTGCATTGAGCGCCTGCCCCTGGTGGTTAGTGTGCATCATAGCGACTCATCCTGTCTGGTCATCCTGTCACTAGGCTTTTATATATATAGATCCCTTAATTTAGCATTTGTCTTTTCATTGTATTAGTTCCTTCAGACACATAAAAAAATTTAAAGTATTTAATATAAGAGAGAATATCAATCCTTTCCTTAAAGTTTCTTTGTTTGGCCAACAAATGACTTTCTTAACTCTAAACCAGATAAATTTTTCTTATAATTCTTTGTTTCTTCTTTTATGTTAATTAACATGTTGAGTGCCCAGTCAGTCACTGGTGACTGACACTATACTTTCTGTCTGGAAGATAAAACAGGCTGGGCGTTTAATGTGTTAACCAGAGGAGAGGTCAGAATATGGCTCTGTTCTATACGTACTGTTTGAAGATGTTACTTAACCCCCCTGAGTTTCAATTTCATTTGCCTGATAAAGCAGATATAATACCAACTTATTAGAGTTGCTGTGGGATTCCTAGAAATAATTTACATGGAGCACTTACAATGGCAGAACCCGATAGAGTCAACGAATAGTAGCTATTTCTTTTAATGCTCTCACATTACATATTAGACTTCTGATTTCATTAGTAGATTTCCATGACTAGCCACTTATGGTGATATTTTCACCTGACTTTAAAACAGGTTTCATACTATTTAATTAATGCTGTAGTTTTTCACTTTTTAAATTACTTTTAATCCATAATATATGCCAGTCAGAAAAATAACAGTTCTTTGAAGGCTGTCCAGTTATAAACTACCTTCTTGATTTATAACTGGACAGCCTTGGTCTTTTAAAGCTGCAGTCGGAGGTTATCAGATGACCAGTAAGAGTATCACGCAAGGATATTAAGAGGTTCTTACACACCAGGACTGCTGAGCGTATTCGTGAACCTGAGCTCCAAGCAGGTGTTTCCGACTCACCTCCAGCAGCCCATCCTCTGGCAGGTCGGTGCAGTGCACGGCGTTCTGAATCTTGGATTTGCCAAAGACCGCTCGGAGGGTGCAGGGACGCAGATGCCGGGCGATTTCCTGTTCAACACACATGCGCAGATGGGTCAAGCCAGCCAAGTGGGGTTGGTAAGCAAAATGCCAGCAATATAACACGCTGGAATTACTTTTTTATGGAATACATGAATACATTGAGGGGACTGATTTTTCTCGGAAACAGCATGAATGTTTGACAACTTTTCCTGCTGATGGACATTCAACCAATTTATTCTTTTTTCCTCCCTCATTTTATTTTTTATTCCCCCCCCCCTCTCCCTTATATACCCTCCCTCCCCAGAGTTTTGTGTCCATTGGTTGTACTTATATGCTTGTATGTAAGTCCTTCGGTTGATCTCTTATCTCCCCCAGATCAACTAATTTATTCTTTTCCTCCTCTCCTACTCCTTCTCCCTCTCCCTCTCCTACTTCCTCTCCCTCACTCTTTTCCTCTTCCCTACACACACACACTTTCACACATACACACAAGGTTGCATAGACAGACATTCTGCATTCTTGGACGGGATGTGGTGCAAATGTACAAGAGTTTTTCTGGAACTCTAGGGCACATGAGTGTTCAATTTTACTAAGCACTGCCAACCATTTTCTTTTCTTTTTTATAAAGTATTTTTATTGATTTCATAGAAGAAGGAAGAGGGAGAGAGAAATAGAAACACTAATGATGAGAGGGAATCATTGATTGGCTGCCTTCTGCATGCCCCCTATATGGGCTCGAGCCTGCAACCCTTGGCCGGTATCGAACTCGGGACCCTTCAGTCCACAGGCCAATGCTCTATCCACTGAGCCAAACTGGCTAGGACCCAACCATTTTCTTTATTGTTTATAACAATTTGCCCTCACCCACCCGTGCACAAGAATTCCCATCACCCACATGAAAGCCAACCTCTGATGCTGGGTGAGTTTAACGTTGCCAATCCGGTGGGTGTGAATAGCATCATGGCCTTGGTCCAGCTTTCCCTGGAAACTAAACAGAAGAGGATGTATATGAAGAGGATGGGTTGGGGCTGAGCTGAGGCAGGTGGGCATGGGGGGTGAATATGAGGGTAATGAGGTAGAGCTTTCATATACATCCTCTTCTGTAAAGTGCCCATTCTTGTATTTTCTCCATTCCTCTAGTGGGTTACTCTTTTCTTTTGAATGTTATTCTTACTATATTCTAACTTTTACTTTTTATCAGTTATGTATGATGTGAATATCTTTTCCCAGTATGTAGCTTGCCTTTGGGTTTCTTTAGTATGTTTTCAGATGAACAGAAATAATTTTAATGAAATTAAATTGAACAGCAGTGAGGCCTACTGCGGTCAGTGGTCATGGAGGTGAGGGGTCACTCAGGTTCTCTGGGTTCCCAAACCACAGTCCCTGGTATAATGTATTGTGCTTAGATGACTGGTACTGATGAAGCATAAAGGCACACATAGCATGTGTTCACTTCACACTGCTGTTAAAATTCAGGCTTTCATTTCGGTCATTTTTTTAGGGAAATGCATTGATACTTTTACTTTTGATTACTGCAAAATATTAGCTATGCCTAGGAAAGTAAAAAATACTGAAATACTAAAATGAAAGCTCATTGGATCCCTACAGACCATGTCCCTTCCATCTCCTGGACTCCTGCTCCTCCTCTCCTCAGATCCATGATGAAAACCATCCTCAGACCCAGGCACCACCCTTGATGAAGCCAAAAATGAGTGTCAGACACATGAAAGTAATACCAAGTGCAAGCTTGTGATTTTCACTGAATACCACAAATAACTGTTCAGAACTTATCGCAGCATGTGTGAGGGCTTTAAACAATCTTTCAAGCTCTACCTTATTACCCTCATATTCACCTCCCATGCCCACCTGCCTCAGCTCAGCCCCAACTCAGCTTGTGATAAGCTGGTCAGTGCCCAGCTCATCACAAGCACTAAAAAATCAGTTCAGGTAGTCCTGCAGCAGGAGGAAGTGTTCTGCTTGAAGAATGACCTCTACATCTGAGAGGTGGAAAAATGCACTAAGTAGAATCACAGTGTCAGTCACAGTGTCAATCACAGTATTAGTCATGGTGTGGGCAGTCACAGTGTCAGTCACGGTGTGGGCAGTCATTAGCAAATTAGCAGATTAGCAAAATGCTGAAAATAAGGAAGAGCAAGTGTATGTAATTATTCTATTGCTGAGTGCAATAAAAAGAACATTATTGTTTATTGAATAACTCGAGGCCTGATGCACAAAATTCATACAAGAGTAGACCTTCCTTCCCCCAATTGATGACACCAGCTTCCCTCTGGCACCCTGGACCTGGGCTTCCCTCGCAGCCCCAGGTTCATCCAGAAGGACTTCTGGAAGAACATCCAGTCTAATTAGCATATTATGCTTTTATTATTATAGATAGGTCCATTCAACTGATAAAATATATTATAAAGCCATTCTGTTTCAGTTCTCCATAATATGAGAGAGATATGCAAGAATAAAATGACCTTCCAGTTAAAAAAATTAATTAAATTGAGCCCGAGCTAGTTTGGCTCAGTGGGTTAGAGCATTGGCTGGAGGACTGAAAGGTCATGAGTTCAATTCCAGTCAAGGGCATGTACCTTGGTTGCAAACTTGATTTCTGGCCCTGGTCGGGGTGCATAAGGGAAGCAACCAATTAACGTGTCTCTCTCTCATCGATGTTTCTCTCTCTGTTTCTCTCCCTCCCTTTTATTCTTTCTAAAAATCAATAGAAAAAATAGGCAACGAAGGTAATAGAATGTAATATGAAAGGCCAAGGAACCAGCTGCCACCATTAAAACAGCACAGATCCACGCTGGTTCTCCCCACAATGAGCCCAGCCCTATTAACAGGCCTCTTCCCGGCCCCTCGGGAACCTCAGCAATATCCCACCACAGCTCAAGTGCAAGCTGCTTTCCGTGTTTGCACGCAACTGTGAGTTAACTGGGCAGTTGCAGTTCATGGTACATTCCTGAAGATAAGCAGTATCAGACTTATCTATAAGCTTAATAAGATACTGCTTATTCTTGGAGATAAGCAGTATCAGTGACTAAAACCAGGTAAGGAAACACTGGGAGGAAGTGGAAGCGGGAACTGGAGGCGGGAAGGGGAGCAGAGAAGAGGTGGAAAGGCTCCTATCTGTCAGCCTGAGGATCCTCTCCCACCAGGCATGACTCAGGACTCACTGAATGAGCCTGTGGGGAACCACAGTGAATATCCTGCACAAGGCGACCTGCTTACACATGAGGAGCCATGGAAGCAGCTGCCTCTCAGCATTAGCGCTCCACCCACACGGCCACGCGGCCCCACGGCCGGGCTCCCCCTGGCGCTGGCTCCTGCCGGGCTCCCTCGGGCTCTGTCTCACCCCTGGCTCTCCCCGGGCAGCCTCATAAATGGTTCTGCTTTGTTTTGTTTTGTTTTGTTTTGTTTGGTCTCAGTTCTCTTCCACGATTTCCCTTATTATTTGTTTGCTTTTCAGTGGTTGGGGTTGGGATAATCAATAAATGATCTCAGTAATTAGAAAGAAAACAATAAAAATGACATTAAACTGTTTCATTTCCCTCGCCAAGAACAGAGATGTCTTCCAATTTCGTTATAGAGGCTTTTGTTTTAAAACACGAAAGGGGGCACTTGTCTGCTTGGTCACATTTACGGCCCTGAGTCCCTTTCTTAGGTTTTGCCAGTGGTAGGACTGTCTCACCAAGATATAAATAAAACACCAGGATTGTTCCTGCCACTGCAACTGATCCTGGGCCCAAACCTGGCACCGGTGTCCGAGCTTTCACCTACTGAGAGCCTGGGGAGGTGGCAGGCTCTTTCATGTCCCAAAACAATAACCGCCCAGAGTCTGGATAAGGTTTAAAAACACATTCCTCCGCCTCACCACGAAGCCTGTGTCTCTAGGAAGTGCAGAGCTGACGCCTGAAACTGACAGCCCGTGTGCACTGGGGAGATTAGGCTGTTCGAGGCTGCAGCTCCCGGCACTCAGATGGTGGCGGCTCTGCTGGCCGCTGTGCCGGGCCCACCCCTCCTCTGACTGTGATGGGACATGTCTGATTGGAGTATGATTGTTTTCTAAGAGAGTCAGAGCAAGTGACCTTCACTATGCATAAAAAGAAAATGGAAGGGTATGAGAAATAGCTCACCTGTCCAAATTTCAAATGACAAGACTGGGAACAGAGGCATGGGGAAAATAAGACGCTTAGTAACACTCTCCAGAGCAGGCACTGTACATGCACATACGTGGGCAGGGACCGTAGCCTACTTGTTTAGTCTCTCCTCCGGTTCCTCAGTGGCTGTTTTCTGTAAGTCGCTGTCAGACGTTGGGCCATTTAAGAATTGGACGGAGGCCTTTCTAGCTGCCTCCACCTCCCCTGCCTAGCTAAGGCAGATACCTGGCGGGGTTTCCACCCGGATGCTGGCCCCACATTCTGCTTGCCCCGGGGAAATTCTACAAATTCCATCAGAAGCAGACCATGCTGGAGATGAACCACAGAGGTCCATTTCTTACAAAAGGGAAAAAGGGACAATGTGAAGCTCAGAGATCTTGAAGGGAATAGTATCACTGGGGAGAAAACACTTCATGCAGCCGAAGAGAAGTAAAGAGTCACTAAGGAGGAATATGTTATAAAAAATAAAAAGGGAAATACATGAAAGGGAAACAAGGCACTTAAAGGGAAACTTATTGGGTGGATCGTTCAGATAAATGCACTAGGAAATGGGGTGCAGATAAAAGGAAGGGGAAATGAAAACAAGTGAAATGTCAATCATATACACAGGTGCGCGCACACACTCACGTATGCACTCACACATACGCACAAATGCATGCACACACACACACATACACACACATAGTCACACACTCGGAAGAAGAAAGTAAAGAGGCCACTACAGGCAAAAAAAGATAGTCACCAAAATCTCTCAACCCCTGTGGGACTGAGGTGGCGCCTGTGGAATAAGGGGTGAGGGAAAGAGGCTGGGTGGGAAAGAGGGGACATGCTCTCAGCCATAACAGAGGCGGGGGAGGGGGCAGAGGGGACATAATCTCAGCCATA